CATGCATATATTAAATTTGATAGATATTTGAATATAATTTCGATTAGTTCATTATCTTTTATTTTTTACAAATTGTATGAAATGTCTTGTAGCTATATCATGTCAATAATAATATAATTCAATTAAAGCATATATGTGATTAAGATGTAAGCAGTAAAAATGTTAGGAATGTACCTGTACTTTAGCGGTAGTATCGCCACGATGTAAAATATACAAATGATGCACCGCTGCTAGTGTTGATCCACCGGGATGCGGCTGGATTCTGAATATGTGGAAGTCGTGTCCTCTCTTGTCCGCTGTCATCAATAACGCGCCGGTTAAATCGAAAATCATGGCAACGATCGCGTCGCTGTGAGCAGTAAAATGAGCAATTACAGCATCCGCATTAGTGTCATCTAACTCTTTCTCGTCTTTCGCGATCTGAAGATCCAATATCGTAACGACACCTGGTTGCGTTACGTCATTGCCCGCGTTATTGATAGCTATCGGTGATACTGAATTCCCCGTGAGACTCGACGCTACGGTTTCCCCTAGTCCGCGAAGACCTTTCCCTAGCGACTTCGCCGCATATAAAACCGTCGCTGTGTAACTCTGAACTCCTTCCCCCTCGCAACCACCGCTGCTTCTTCTTGCGGGTATTAATTTTTTCTCGCTGCAAATAAATAGTGATTAGCCCATATCTAATAAAATCATGTTATTACCTACGTAAAGTATTAAAATCATTAGAAAACGCAAGATAAAATGTGTGTCAAATTCTATACCTATATGCGAGCCATCGCGTTCCTAAAGCGATGGGATTTGGATTCAGGCCAGGACTGGCATAGCAAGTCGTGATTGTTATATTATTTTGCAATGTTCTAGCATCAAAGACCGCAATTTTTTCTAATAACGTTATAACCACGGATCGCCTGTTCGCCAACACGTCGCAGACAGAATGCTTGAATCCTACGCTGTGTATTGACTCGCCGGTTTTTAAGGAGATGAAATTAACGTCGCAAAAGGTTTTTGGTCCCGGAAGAGTTGAATCCGGCTCAGAGCAGACCGCTACCATCGGCCGTTTCGCTTCAAATTCATCGACATGTTCGTCGTCAGTCTTTGGATTTGGTAGAATTCGAAGAATACGAACCACGCCTTGTCGCCATGATAGGATCTCCGTTGCCTCTCCCGTTGCTGCTATCAGCCATACCTACGTTTACAAAAATCGGTAACTGTTACAATTGAATA